CAGATGGTAAGCCAGAACATCACCAAAATGTAATCATCTGTTCATTGTGCCATTGTCAACATTTCTTGAAAATTTCATGAACATCCGTTGATAACTTTTTGAGTTATCTTGCTAACAAACAAATAAACCAGTAAACAAACAGATAAACCGGTAGATCTGTAGGTGTGAATGCGAGTGTGCTTGGCTGTCTGTCTGTAAGTGTAGCCCTAGACTGGCAACCTTTCCAGTGTGTCCCCTGAGTCAGCTGGGATAGGCTCCAGCCTCCCGCGACCCCAGTGAGGATTAAGCGGTGTATAGATAATGGATAATAATAATAATAATAATAATAATAATATTGAATCACATTTTGAGGGGTTAAAGGTGCCCAAAAACGAATTAAAATTTGCACATGCACAAACAATGGTGAATATTTATGTCTTATTCATCTTGAGCACGAGTCTAGCTAAATGGCTTGATATAGATATTCAGCGAAATAGTAGTCGTGGTACATTTGAGTACATGTGAGATTACGGTATCAGCCCCATCTGCATCCTCCAGTGTCATTTTGTTTTGTCTCCCATGTTCACCTTCCTGCCAGCCTATCTATTCCTGCATCAATTCTGTTCTCTATATCTTCTTTTTTTTTTTTTTTTGTAGTTTTGGATTCTTTTCCTTGGATTGTTTCTTCAGCTGTGGACTTTTCACCTGGATTCTCTAGCTGCCATTTGCTTGCTTCTCAGCCCTTCAGTAAGTTTTATTAAAGTCGTGTTTTGTTCCTACAACCTGTCTGCTGTGTTTTGTGTTTGCATTTGGGTTCCCTGACCAGCTGTCACAAAAAATTTATCAGTGGAATTAGTCAGAATGCCAACATGTGGTCAGTCTAATCTAAAGGCCTTTAGATGCTAAACTGGGATGCTTTTGAGATTCCCAGAGGGGTCTGTTCATGGTGGCATTGTGAATTTCAGTGTTTTTGTGATGGGACAGAAAGTTGTTGTAACTTAAATAGGCATTATCTCATTGCCCTGACGTTTTCATGCTTGATGGGAGCCCTGGTCTGAACACATCTACATGTCTACATTCAGTTTTGGTCATGGCCTTACCAATCGACAACAGGAAGTGAGGCTAATGTGACAAACATCACTTGATTTGCATGATTTGGTCTACAGTTGATGTACAGCAACATAATGCATGTTTGATGCGTGTTCTCTAGCTCCACATAGTGTGCACATCCATCCATCCATTATCTATACACCACCACAGGGTTATGGGGGACTGGAGTCCATCCCAGCTGACTTAAGGTGAAGTCAGGGTTCATCCTGGACAGGTAACCAGTCTATCACAGGACCGCACAGAGAGACAGACAACCAAGTGCGCTCACCTTATAATGGACACGTCTTGTGAAAATAATCAATTGCAGATTACTAAAGTGCACTGTCACTGTGTAACTCGAGATTGAAACAGGCTTTCAAGAGAGCACTGTAGCTCTGCTGTTTTAATTTTTTTCATTCAAAATTCAAAAATGTAACTTTGTATCTAACTTCTTCCTTTTGTTACCTTTCAGGATTATCGGTAACCTTGGTTACTTCCTGTATTTTCTTTGACTTGCTTCTTAAACTTTCACTATTTTTGTATCGGCTTTTGTTATCAATGCCGGTCTTTGGTTTTTCAAAACTGCCTACTGTGTCTGCATTTGTGTTCTCTACCTAGAACTGGAAACTGAAATTGCAACCAATGGGACTCCCTGTGAAGAGTCTCTACTTGTGCTTCTGAACAATACATGACTTATCCCCTTTGCATCGCATTACAAAATATTGCCTTGCATAATGTTATCACAGGCACCAATCACAGCTAGCTAGTTGGCTGATTAACTTATCAGACCAGTGTCCTCTTTTCCTTCATCATCAGTTTGTTGTGATTGCCCATAAACCCAGATCAAAACTTGGAAACTGCTAAGAGAACCCTGAAGCTCAGCAATTGTTTGAATTTTGAATATTGTGGTTTTCAGTTTTACGGTGTTAAAATTGTTTCCCCAAAATATGAATACTTAACATAGCCTCTTCTGTCAGTAACAAAAAAATTCAATGACAGACCATTGTCATCGTGCCATGTTGAAATAGTGTGATCACCATGCAGGTACAAGTTTTTTGCAATTAATCTGACAATGTGAGCAACTCAGTTGGGTGTCTCATCTTGATGACTAATAGTGAGACTGCTCCACAATAAAATGAAGAGTACTGGTTGAGTGGCTGCCGTGCTGCTGAGGCGTTCAGCCAGCACTGATGGGTAATCCTCTTAGACTGTTGCAGCTCACTGGTTACTATCTCAGCCTCTTCCTCTCCCCTTTGTCCTCCTGTGCCTTTCACCTCTCATCACTCTATTGGGATCTAATTGGGTGGAAAAGTCAAACGTGTTTGTGAATCTGCTGTCCTGAAAAAGAAGATGTAAAGTAGGATCTGACAAGAAGGGAAGTATTATGAAGCTGGATGAGATACCACCAAGACCTGAGGACAGTCCTGAGCCAAGTCCAGTCACTCTGCAGTATGAAGCCGACTCCCAGTTATGGCTATGAAGCTCCTTGGAGTATAAAAAACTTCCATCATCTTTCTTGTCCACACTGAAAACTCATCTCATGTAGATGTGTTGTTGTTGACCCACAAAAAGTATTTCTATGTGAGAACAAGTTATTCACTCTCAAAAGCTCTCAAACATATGACTAAATAGGTAAATGAACAAATGACATGAGTCATTCTCGACATTAACCACTGTGACTGTTATTACATTAACTTAATAGTATTCTAAAAACACAAACTGATTACTTGATTACCTTCTGATTTTGTTATGAATCAAAACAACCATGGGTTGCTCTAAGCAGTAGAGATCTGAAAATAAAGCTAACTGCCTACAAAGCTTGGATAGTCTGTACAAAAATAATCTAAGCACTTCTCGATTGTGATTTCCACTGTCCAACATGCCATTATAAAGGGCAGTTATTGGAAACTGTGGAGGTCAAGACAAGAACGAGAAGACCAAAAGACTTTCACACAAAACGGACACTCAATAGGAAACCCTACGTACAACCTCATCATAAATGTCAGACTCTGAAGTATACAACAATACGATAAGCAAGAGCCATTCTGACAACCAGTGCTGCTGATGGATGACGTTCAGATTGAGTTTGCTGAACACAATCCCCAAATGCATGTTCAGAGAAAAAAAAGGAGCAGTACTTAATGACAAGAACTTGCCAGATGTTAAGCATGGTATTGGAAATATTCTGCTTTGGGATTGTGTGGCAGCCAGTGGTACAGACATTGCACAGATAGAGGGAAGAGTCATTTCCACTCCTTATCAGCAAATTTTAGATATGAAGCAGTCCAAAAAATCAAACTGAAAAGATTCATATCCAACATGAACTACATGGAATGGCCCTCATACACTGTCTGACATGCACATGATGTTTAGGATTTTTCCACAGATTTTCAGTCATGTTCAATTTAACAGGCTAAGAATATCTCAACAATTTCAGTCATCTGCAATGAAAACTAGGGGAAAATTCCTAAATCAAGAATAAAAGTACTACTGGAAAAAGTGCTTGCAATCTATGGTATCTGGCAAAGTATTTCTAAAAGCTGAAATAGTAGCATGTCAAAACTTTGGCACATACCACAAGTGGCAGGTTCTCTGATCTGTGCAGAGAAGTTGTGTTGGAGTGAACACTGGGACCCTGGTCACATCCCTGACCAAGGGCCTCCTAGCCTGGGTACTCAGTTTGACTAAGTGACCAACTCTAAGAGAAATCCTGGTGGTTCCAAATTTCCATTTCACACATTTTAGGCCACTATGCTCCTGTGAACACCTTTTAAACATGGTTTTATACCCTTGTCAAACAAGAGAGGAAAGACAGCTGGGATCCATGCAAGGCTAAAGGCTAGCCCCCCCCCCCAGACCAGCACTACATCGCTCCTGCTTTCCAATGTCCACTCGCTCGACAACAAGCTGGATTTTCGATTTACTGAGAGAAACCCACGAAAAGTGGAGGGACTGCTGTGTGTTTGCTTTAACAGAAACGTGCCTCCATGACAACATCCCAGACGGCCATACAGCTGGAGGAGATGACATTATTACGGGTGGACACGCAGACAACTAGCTCTGAACTTTTCCAGAGCTGCTGCAGGAGCAGGACACTGAACATTATCAGGGACTCCTCTCACCCTCTCCATAAACTGTTTGAACTGCTGCCATCAGGCAAATGTTTCTGGAGCATTAAAGGAAGAACCTCCAGACTGATCAACAGCTTCATTCCACAAGCTGTCAGAATGCTGAACTGCTGATCCGAATATACACACGATTCTTTAATTGCTTTTAGTGATTGGATCCTGAAGAAGCCCTCTCTCATCTTGTTTGTACTACTGTTGTATGAACAGCAAAATGACAATAAACTTAATTTGATTTGATCTGTCCTGAGTTTATAACTCACGACACTGAACATATTTAAACACATATGCCCAACCTATATAACTTGACAGTACAAGAAGATGACACATAAACTCACCTATAGGCACACTCTTGCCATGAATCTTGTCAGTCCAGCCGGCGTAGTAACGCAGAGTTTTGATGCTGCCCTCCAGGTCAATGAAGAAAGACTGCAGGAAGGGCTTGCCTGTGTCCAGAGTCTCCAGAGTCTACAGAGTCAAAAAAATAGCATCAGAGTTCCATAGATTGTTCTGTTTTTGCGCATTTATAACTAAAATCTTGGAAAACTACTCTGTAAACAATTTTAACCATAAACAATGTGTGGGTGTCACAAAAAAAAGTTCTTTGGGCCCTTAGAAAAAGCCTCACCATACAGCGTAAAGGAAAACGTTAGTTTATTACATCTAGCGTTCTCATTGGATCTTATCTAATAATCTTACATCAGCCCTATAGCTTCAGCTGTGATGCCGATCAGTACTCATAGGTTCATGGATGAACTTCTTGGCAAAGATCTCGTAAACTTGCACAATGCTCGTTCAGAATGTGCCTGTTCAGAACCTTACAGCTTTCTCAATCATCTAAACTACTTTAACCTTGACACTGACTACGATGGGTTATTAAAAAGTTAACATTTAAACTCAAATTAGCTCATGTGTCATTGGTATAACCAGCGCCAGGATCAACCTTAACCCTCTCTCTACATGGCTCTTAGTCTAAGGCTGCACTTGACGATTACCATTTTTTATTTATTTATTTTTTTTGAATTAGTCAATTGATGTGTTGACTACTTTATAAGTTATCATAAAGTTTATTTTTTATTACTTAGTATGCTTGAAATTGATGTCACAGAAAAGATTGACAGAATATTTTAACACATCACATGCTCATACTTTCACGAAAACGATGTGATGTTATGTTAAACCCCTAGCAGTCCTCATAGAAATATCTGTAATATCTGGTACCTGCAGGGCCTCATCGTCCACAGTGCAAATTGCCAACAAATAAACTGTTTAATTGTTCAGTTGTCTTCTCTTTCTCTCTAACTTTGTGTCATCCTCTCTGTAGGTATCTGGCTGCAAAACTAAACATCTCCAATCTGCAGTTAAAAGTTAATTGTTCTCTTGTGCTTTGTTTTCTGCTTGATATCCTGTTCTGTCTCCCCTTTACCCTCACCCCAACCAGACCGTCCTCCCTGAGCCTGATTCCGTTGGAGGTTTCTTCCCCACCATCACCGAGGAGATTGTTCACAGGGAAACATTTGGATATGTTTGTTTTTTCTTTTTTGTTGAATTTGTGAATAGAAACTGTATAAATAAAACTGAATTTAATTTAATTACACAAGATACGATAAATTATGTCATACGTGTAAGTTCCTCACATAAAAACAATAATTACAATAATGGTAAGTTCATTTAGATAACAACAAAGTCAGCTGTGTTTGGCTGAGATAGTTGACGAGATGCTTCCTCTTTGGAGCCTAGGATGGTCCAGTCAGCCACAGCAGTCCAGGACAGCGTATGGTGTCTTGGCACATTGCAATAGGCCTTGCATGTAGAATTAGGTTTATATTGATTATGTTTGACTGTGACAGATATCATGTTCATTTCATTGTGTGCCCTAAATCACTCCAAAATCAGCACTATTTTGCCGGAGTTCCTTTAATTTCATTACAAAAGGAAAAATAAGAAATGAGTCTCCATGGCTTTAGCAAATACTGAATCCACAACACCACTTCACTGTATCACTAAATAGTCTCACTCTAGTCCATATCTTGTCAAACACAGCAGGGAGTTTAGTTTACTTAACAACTGTACCCTACACACCGCCCCACAGAGCATGTTTGCAATTAGCAGCCACATGCAATCTGGTATTACGACTTCAATCACATCTGTAAGGGTGAATTTACTAAAATAAGTCCTAATGCATGCTGGTAGTTAAACAGAGTGAAAAGACACAGTCAAGCAGACCTAATTCTAAACAATATCTGACCGGAAAGGCAAATAGACTCCAGCAATCATTACAGAGAGAAAAATAAAGACTGAGGTAAGGTCTCAGTGTCCCGATACCATGCAGTTATACTGGCTGATGTTGAATATGTGAGTGTCATAACAGCACATGGACATTTTTCTACCGCAAGGAAAATCCCATAAATATGTGTCTTGTATAAAAGAATTTACTTCCATAATTGAGATCTATAGACAAATTAACAATGAAAAACCTCAGTGAGTGCTCACAATTCCTGTCAGTCATTCAGCTGAAACATACAGTTATGTGCTGCAGGGACAAGTCATTAAAGTGCTGCAACTACCTAAATACAGCTCCAGTGTTCTTTTACTTTACTTAAGTATATCTGCTAGTACTATACTACTAATGTATTTCTCCTTCATAACATGTCAGAAAAGATACTGTACTTTTTACTGGACTCTACTCATCTTACAACTATAGTTACCAGGCAGATAAAGACTTTCAACCTTCTATGATGTGAGATACTGCTCTTATTTCCCGTAAATAATCCCAGTATCACTTTTTAGTGTAAATACATTAAAATGCTTATGACAAGTTAATGCATCAGTAATAGATGATAATTAATGTCTGTGAGAAGCAAACAGGCTGTGCAGTGAGTAGGCCTACTTTAATTAGCTATACTTTGCTTGTAATGCTCCTTTAATTGTACTAAAACCTTGACTGCAAAGGTTTTACTTGCAAATTAATCAAAAGAGTAGAATATTGGTCTTCTAGATAATTCAGCTAAACAACAGGATGATACACATAAAGGCACATTGTTTTTAAAAAAATCCAATTTCTATAACATTTTTTTATGTAATTCTTGAACTGCCCATCCAGCAACATATTTTCAAGAACCAATAAAGCATTGCCTCAGCATTAAATGTATGCAGGGCTATGTTAGAGGAACTGAACAGCACATCTGTGCACGAAGAACTCGTTAAAGTAAAGCTACACAGCCGTCTGCAGAAAGTGGTCAGTGACTACGGACAAACAGAGGCAGATCTGACCGCCAGCAGGAGCCGGTCCCTCTCCAGCAGGTCGGCCAGCCTGTGCAGCAGCCTCCCCCGGCTGGACGCGTCCATCCTCCGCCACGGAGAGCCTCTCTGCTGGGCGGCCCTGGCTGCCTGCACCGCCTTGTCCACGTCCTCCTGCACACAAGCACAAAGAAGCGGAGCGACATGAGGACACACAGGACACGAAGCTGCCAGAGACCACACAGCAAGTCTGTCCTCATAACCGCTGCTCCTGGGTCCAGTGTGAGGTTCTAAGACTACATCTGTTTAGAGAGACTCCTAAAGACAAGTAGCCTTTAATTCTAGTGTCAAGCTATTTCGTAAATTTAAAAAAATAAAATTAAAAATTAAAAAATTAAAAAGAAAAGAAAAAAAAAAAACGCTACTGTGCAAAACATTTCTATGTATTCGCCTCCACCTCTGCTGTCCTGATCTCACAGACTTGACGGACTCTGGATTTGGATCCTTCTAACCTGCTCTGCCTCGTGGACATCACACAGTTTGACACCTGTCGCTGGGTTGAAGGTTGGAAACGTCCTTCCTCTGCTGGACGTGTGCCATTCGTTGTCGATAAAAATCTGTGGAGGACACCAAGTGTTAGTTGTGGCTTTGTCTTTTTGCCTAAGCGGACACCTGACACCTAACTGAGACAATCACCCAGCTGACAGCAGCCAGAGGGCTGTCCTCTGCTGCCGGTCAGGCCTCTGAAGCCACGCTGCAGCTTTGGAGTCTGGCTGCTGCGCTGCCTTCACTTACCTTCGTGTGTCGGATCTCCTGGACTTTGGCAGGCTGGGGTAGAGGCAGAGCCGGGCTCTCTGTTCCGTTCTGTGCCATTGTAGCTCCAGTGTGTGATCTCCGCGCACTGAACAATCGTACCATCCGCAGGCTTTTATAGGAATGTGGAGTCCTTCCCTCCCCGAGAGCCCAACTCCGCCCCATCGGACACCAGGATCCTTTACGTGAGGAGCTGCTGGCTCCTGCTGCTGTGTGCGCGCTGGAGCTTCCATCATGCGCCTCCTGCCTCCGTGACCTTCTCCCTTGTGTACACTAAGCAGCGCTTTGTCCTCGTCCAGGTGATTTCCATCTTCATTCTCCTGCTGGGCGCACGGTGCGCACACCTGCACTCACCAGCCCAGTGCGCACAGGCTGTCAAACGGAAAAGAGTCAGAAGAAACTTTTCACTGCACACTTTCTGCAGCCGGTCTGTCGGTGCAGGCAAGGGAAATAATAAGGAGGATTTTTTTCTGCTGGATAATATTTACATCCCAACACAATACCTTTGATCTGCTTTTGTGTGTCTTTGGAACGACTGCAGTGTGCGCATCAACCGTGCCAAGGTGTTCCGAGCTGTGATGTTGGTTTTTGCACCTGGGCCTGGTGAAGTTGAATGGAGTTGAACACATGCAAACAAGTGCTTTTGTTCCTGAGGACAAAGCTGCTTGCTTGCTCCAGACTTGTACTCGTACACAGTCGGCTATTGTTTCCCCTTCATTGCTTCTTGTCACTCTTTCTGCCAAAGTTTAATTAGGACAACGAGCTTTCCAAAGCTCATTTCTCACTTCAGCAACTCCAACACTCCGTAATGAGTGACAGAGACCTCAAAGAGGGTGGCCGAACAGAAGAGAGGGAGAGAGAGAGTGAAGTGTGTGTGTGTGTGTGTGTGTGTGTGTGTGTGTGTGTGTGTGTGTGTGTGTGTGTGTGTTTGCGGTTTGGGGGAAGAACGATGCAAAGCACTGATAATGCAAAAGCCTAGACTCATGCAAATAAGCAGAAACCTGCTCCAGAGTGGATGATTTCATTTGTCAAACAGTTTACAAGTAAAGCAGGGTTTCTGACCATTACAAGGATCTTTCTAGAACATTCAAGAATACAAATCTATGTTCTACTTATGTCATTAGTATCTCACTGTTTTCCATCTATGGCACCTGGTTCTGTTACCTCACGGCTACAGAGTTTCATTTTTCAACAAAAAGCTCAGTGATGTCCGAAAAACAAACTGTTTTCCACTTTTTAAAATAAAATTTCTCTTTAACAGAAGAAAATTGTGCATTTGTTAGGGACTATTTGTAACAGTGGATTCATTATTTAATTCTTTGTGATTAAATCAAAATGAACTTGGCTCAGTTTTTACAGAAACCTTTGAGTTTACAAAACATTCACGTTTACAAAATTCTTAACTCCACTGTAATTTATTTTACTAAACCATGCATTAAATTCTTAGTGTATAGTAATATCATGGTAGCTTATTAGTGAACTAAACATCCAGATCCATGTCTGATGTGTTTGCCAACATTACTCACTGTTATGACTAAATGACCCCTATGAGCAGCATTGCAGTACAACTTGTACATTCGAAACCTATTCAATGCATTTCTTTGCTTAATAAAGTGAATTTATACTTGAAAAATGTTTTAGGATACAGCTACTACTGCATATCAACCAGTGAATATTCAAAACAATAGCAATACAAGTTAGTGATTCATGTTTTGTATGACCAACCTCATCCTAGTTTTAGGGAACAGGCTCTATAATTGATTAAGGCTTTGGGACTTTATTAAGGCTACAAATAACAAAAGAAGCTGATGGTCTTTGGTATGAAGAAATATAAAATATGGCCTAATGTGTGATACTGTAGTATAAATCCAATCTGACTTTTACTGAAGAAGATATTTGCACATTTTGCTCATGTAGAAATGTGCAAATCTGTAGACTGGGGATCTGCAAATGATAACAAAGTGGGAATATATGTGCATGAATTTCAACTGTATGTAGTAAATAACAAATCCTCTAGCTGACTGAGACTTAGGAGGGCATCCCGTCATGGGAAAGTGGAGTCAGACAACCCCTTCTTCCAAGCTTGGCTGATCAGGCTTACAGGCACTGCACACCTTCAAATAAGGTCAAGTCTCCACCCTTCAGCAGGCTTCAACTCCAATTAGAATCACTACTCAGACAACTTTGCAGAAGATTGTCTTTTGCTGACAAGTTATTATTTATTTAATCGTACAAACAATTGGATATTTTAAAATCTGAAATACTGTTTTATATGTTGCATTAATACGGTAGAAAGTGCGTTATGCATATTGTCAATCTAGTAGTAGCACTAACATTTATAACAACATTAATAATAATAACAATAATAACGTATCTATCGAGTTATTATCCAGAGGGTCACAGGAAACTATTCCAGCCAACATTGGGCGTCAGGCAGGCTACACCTGGACAAGTCATCAGTTCATAACAGGGCTAACAGAAGACACAGACAACAATGCAAGTTCACACTAGGGTCATGACAATAGCAGTTTTACTAATTCTAAAGTGAAGTTATTTGATTTTGCCAACACACTTAGTCATTATCTTGTAAAAAGTTTGCTCTTTTGTTTGAAGCTTTCATTAGATTATCCAGACTGCAATGCCTAATACTAAATTGTGACCACTGAAACACCGGACATTTCCAAATAAAACAAAGATTTATTGTTTTCACAAAATAAAACATCATACATGTATATGTTGTGAACAGTTACAGAAGGTGAGGCCTTGAGAACTTGCTACTTCTGCAACAATTGCATTTTTATCTCTCAAAGTAGAGCAATTTAGATGAGAAAAGATGAAAAGAGAAGGCAAGAGGGAGGGAGAGTCTGAACCACTGAGATAACTCTGTCCAGGTGTTCAGAGTCAAACAAAGGCACTCCTCAGGCCCTGATGAGAACACAATGCTTCTCCACTTGTCTCAAAATATAAAGGATAGAAAAAAGAACAAAACTCATGTTGAAGCTTATGTTCTGATACATAATCACAATATATGGATAAGAGGATGGATCAATCACACAAGCCTTGTTGCTGCCAGTAAAGAAGAGTATCAGCTGAAAGAGAAAAGTGCTGAGGTTAGAATTATAAATTGTGAATTATAAATAAACTGTGTTACATTGCAGTTTTCAAGGATTGAGGTTCACAAGTAGAAATTACCCGAGCAGGAAGAACAGGTCATTTTAAATATGTCTGCACTTCATTCTTTTTTTTCTTCTTTTTTTTTTTTAAAGTTGAGAAAAATCCAAATCTTAAGGCAAAATTATACAACTGTTGAGCTTTCCTTTCCTTTTTGATGGACTGAGGACTGCAAGAGTTGGGCAAAGGCTTGTCGCCAGTCCCTGTGACATCTGCAGGCAAAAGCCTGAGCAGAAGGTGAAAGTGTCTCTTCTTCTAGGAAGGGACCAGTGGGGGTTGATCACCAAAACAAACTTGAAATGGGGAGAACTCAGCAGAGTTGACAAAGAGAATATCAGACTATCATCCAGGTACACGTAGACAAACTGATTAACCATATCCTGCAATACATCATTAACAAGGGTTTGAGTGACAGCAGGGGTGTTCGACAAACCAAATGGCATTACCAGGTATTCATAGAGTCCATTGTGTGTGCTGAAGGCAGTCCTTCACTCATCTCTGTTACGAATACTCACCAGGTGGTAAGCGTAGTGGAGGTCCAGTTTGGTGAAGATAGTCACTCCCTGCAAGTTATCAAAAGCAGATGAGATTAGTAGCAATGGATACTGTTTTTTAAAAGTAATGTCACTGAGAGATCTAAGTATTCAAAACAAAGCTGGAGTGAGTGTTTTTCTTCTATACAAACCTAAAGTCTCCACCTGCCAAATTAAAGTTTGGCTGGATAAAGTTTGCAGATAAGACGTCACTAATATATTTATTGATAGCCTCCATTTCGGGGGCCGTCAGGGAGAAAAGCCTATCCTACCCTTAGGTGGTTATTTTCCTGGCAGCAGATCAGTAGCATAGTTGTATGGCAGGTATGGAGGAAGAGCAGTGGCATGTGACTTGCCAGATTTCCAGCTGGCATTGTAGACAGTTTGGAAACTCCTCCTGTACCTCCACAACACTAATACCCCTTTTCCACCAAACCGGTTCCAGTGCTAGTTCTGTGCTACTGCCTAACTTAGCACCAGCCCTTTGTGTTTCCACCGCCTAAGCACCGGCTCCAGGCTCTCAAAACTGGTGCTTAGCAAGCACCAATTCTTTGTGCTGGGATAGAGCTAAGCACCGAGTACGTCAGGGGCTGGGAGCGGGGTTATTGTGACCACCAAGACCAATGAATGAATTGGACACACAAGTGGTGATTTGTATCATTTTTCACCAGGAATTCCCTGGTCCGATCACAAATGTATTAGAATGAGTCCAGGGACACACGGAAGTTTTGCACAAACTGTTGCACCCTGAAAGCCGGTACAATTGTGTCCCACCAGTAGCACCACAGTGGTGGAAAACAGTACTTTTATTACTTAGGTGTACTGCGGTATTTACGCTTAGAAATGCGGTCTTCCTATGAAAAACTGAGCGCACCTACATGCACTGTTTATTCCGCTCATAGAGAAGACCGCATGAGAAAAAAATCACTCGGTTTCATCTTGGACAAATCTGACATTAGAACGCCCTAGCTCGCACACCAGTCTGAGCACCGCGGACACCAACAGCAGCTACCGCAGCCTGCCATGTGGTGCATTTGGGGGAACATCGTAAATTGTAAAGTCTATCGATAAGAAAATGTTCAGCTAGTCATATATTTTCCTGTGACAAGGTGAGAAGTGCAAACAAATGAGAAAGTTGGTCACACCAGTAAAAAAGTTAGTCTGGAGTCCTGTGTAGACTTCCGTGTGGCGCAAGTGTTGTTTGGTAAACGGCTACCTTAGGCATGGCTCTAACTTGGCTCCTTACCGATGGAAAAGCAATCAGTTCTTAGATTGGAACCAACTAAGCACCAGCCCTAGCACC